GTTACTGGGAAAATTCACGTGCCATGCCCATTTCCTGCTCAGAAAACAGCTCAACATCTGAAACTAATGCCAGTCTTACATGCTGGTAAAATTTAAGCCTGCCGTCCTAAAACAGGTTTTGCAACAGAGTTTACTTTTGATAAGTTAATAAGAAATATAAAAGCCTCACCTTTCCAGCAGCATCAGGTGGGGCCTTCCGCTGAAGGAGCAAGCTGGCCACCTCCATCTTGCCGTACTTTGCCGCCACATGCAGCGGCGTGAAGCCTTTCTGCTGAACACAGAATGGGACATGAACGACTGAAGACAGAGGGTACAGTGAAAATGTCACATTTATTTTAGTTTCTTAGAGTATTTAGGTCAACTTTAGCAACATGCACTGGTTTCTCACACATTTGAAATCAATTTTATGTATAAAGTTCCCTTTTTTTAAGTATCTGTAGCTTTGCAGTCCACAAATGAAACTACAATAACTAATAGCAACCTTTTCATTAACCCCCTCAGAAAATAAGCCAAAGACACAAACGGCTGCTGTACAGTGTGTTCATCTTCGCCTCCCTGGTATGTGTATGTGAAGATATTTAAAGMCATTTTGCCATATTTCCCAGAGGAATGTAGGACTCCCACAGATTCCCATTTGCTCTTGAAACACATGACCTCATTCTGATGCCTGCCTACAGTCAACATTCCCATGACCTCTACAGTGAAAGACTGTTTCAAAATCAAGGTTAATTCAAGTCTAACTCCGATGTATCTAATGATTGAGGTTGTTTTCAAAGATGCAACAAATTACAGAGTTTATGTTGCCTGTTTCCCAATTCCTTTTTTTCTCATCCTGCAAAGACATAAATTCTTTGCATGGCAGACTAATGTTACAATAGATGTGGTCTGTAAATGTGWTAGAGAGAGCACTGTGGGGTTTACCCATCATTAATCTGCTCCGTTGACAAAGGTGACCTTTAAAAAAAACCTCCAGCTTTACATGGCACATTTACACAAACCACTTTAATAAATCCTCTTTGACAATTTTTATTTATACATTTTATTTTTTGATCGTGATCTCTACAATTACTCAGACATGCAAGCGCCACCAGCAAAAATTGTTACAGTTGTGAGGGAAAAAATTTACTGTTTCATTACATTCCTGAAGGTCAGTTTTTTTTAAAAAACAACAACAACAAAAAAGACAAAATTATTTCAGGAATTGGTTGTTCAGGCAGTTAAAGACAACAAGTTGCCTTATGTAACAGRAAACCAAGGAGGTTGTATCGAACAAATGGAATGAGTCTTGACCACATGACCGTTTGATATACTGTAGCAGCTGCAGGGCTATTAACACTGTTAATGATAACGGGAATGAAAATATTTTTAATATATTATAGTGAATATGAGCTAGTTAATGTTTAAATAGTCAGAAAAGTTTGGGATGCACCAACAGAATAGGAAAAGGAAAATGYCTCATTTCACAAATAAGCAGATTTAATCTGATTTACCACTTTGTGGATGTGATCTGACCAGAACCRAAACTAATAATGTAACAGTTTAAAGCTAATACAAGCTTACAAAGCTGATGTAATCTCTGTTAATTGAGTGGGTTAGCAGATATTGGCTTCTGTAGAATATATTGTTATACAGAGTGTAGCTCTGCTGAATCATGCTACAGTTTAACACCAATTCTTAAATATCACAAGCTGATTTTACCTCTAACTTAWGTGATATTTACACAATGTAAAGTAATATTATTTGACTTTTTTTTTATTTCTATTAGACAAGCCTGAGCTGTTGAAATGATAGTTAGCCAATATGGAATATGCACAACAAATTGCCCCTCGGGGACAATAAAGTTTACTTGACTTGAAAATCAATAGACAAGTTTCACCCTAAGGCATCACTGGGTATGTAGTGAACATTTTAATGATAAATATTTATTATCATTTTTATGACAGTATTATAAATATACTTTCCTACTACTTGAAGTCATTTTATTATTTCTAAAAAGTCTAAGTTRGTAASTGACTTCATTKTTGCTCACTTTCTTTTGTATATATCTAGCTGTTTTACATGATTGTTGAAAAACATMTTGTGACACAGATCCAGTTGAGCTTGCTGTTAATTAAATAGTTGCCATGTGAGCTGTCGCCCTGTTTGGTCACCATTTTTACTCCGTGTTCAACRGCTCGCGCAGACAGGAAGCAGGGGAGGGTGGGCGTGAATCACATTCTGCTCTCTGATTGGTGGAAGCTCTGAAAGGGGTGGGGACTCCCAACTGCTGAGTAGCAATACTTATGGAAAGATGCCAGTGAGATTTAAAATGTACTTTGTTAGCAAAATATCTCATAAYCCATTGAACAAATAAAACAACTCTTAAATAATAATCAACACATGGTCATCTACGACTAATTAACTTTTAGAGTCAACCCAATTCAAGATGGCCGCCACAACTTACCATTCTTAGCCACCAGAAAAATGTTGAAAAAAAATGTCACAGATGCTAAAAGTGGACTCTGCACAGAAAACAGAAACTGGCACCAACTAGTGGTGGTTTATGGTACTGAAACAACATCCTTCGTAACAGAGCTTTGCGGCAGCAAATGTATTTTTTTCTGAAATGAGATCTTTTCTTGGACTCACTTTAGTTGCAGATGAAAGCGAGGCACCGTTCTCCAGCAGCATGGCAGCAACATCTTGGTGTCCTTCTCGGGCTGCCAGATGCAGTGGGGTGTAACCTGAAGTGGTGGCAGCGTTGGCAGAGGCGCCACACTGCAGCAGCTGCTGGACGATGTCTACCTTCCCCAGCCGACTGGAGATGTGCAGCGCTGTCTGATCATCCTGCCCAGAGGAGGAAGGGGGGGGAAGACTTTTATGACCGGTATTGCTCTCATGCTTCTTTTCTTCTTGACCCGGTGACGGCTCTAACCTTGGACTTGGTGTCAACCTTGGCTCCGTTTTTCAGCAGGTATCGCACYACGTCTGCTTGGCCTGCCCTGGCTGCCATGTGGAGGGCCGTCTCCCCTCGCTGGAGAGCACAAAGAAACRTGAAACCTGAACCGAAGTGGGACATTCAAAAAACGAAAACAATAATAACATGTAGGGGAGCGTCAAACTCACAACGTTGGTGGTGTTGGGTGATGCTCCGTGCCGTGTCAGTGCATGGACAATGTTTTCATGCCCCATAAASGCTGCCACGTGGATGGGTGTCAGGCCAGACTGCAATGAAACAATAAAGCACAAAAATAATTCAGTTTTGCTCAGAGTAGTAAAGTAACTAAGTATAAATACTTCGTTACTGTACTTAAGTAGGATTTTTGGGTATCTGTACTTGAGTATTTTTTTCAGCCTACTTTTTACTTCTACTTCTTACATTTTCACACAACTATCTGTACTTTCTACTCCTTACATTTTTAAAGAAGGCAAAAAGTAGAAAGTCATTACTTTTATTTCATTTCTGCTTGTTTTCATTCCAGCTTGTTATTGTATAAAATAAATACTATCCATATAAATTATCCCTCCTAGACAGAGTGAATTTAATTGTGGYTGAAAGAGAAATATAAATATATAAAATCTGATTCTGCATTAATTTGTACACAAACAAATCATGTCACACTCCACCAGGACACAATCATTAAAATAAAAGTTCTGTACAAAATAAGTATTTGTATTTCATGAATTATATTATTGTATTTGGCCGCAGCCCTCTGATAGATTTTTATTTTGGAGAAATGTTTTGGGCAGCCTTGATTTATGTATATAAACTGAAACAACTGGACTAGTGCATCCTAAATTTAACATAAATTAAACATTTAATATGACACAGTCATTTCTTCATTTTTTGGAGGGAGGTCACCTTCTAATACATGTCAATACAGAAAATCTTAAATGCTCATTTTAAATCAATATTTTTACTTTTAATACTTAAGTACAAAAAAATATCAGATACTTTAAGACTTTTACTCAAGTAATATTCCTAAAGGAGACTTTAACTTTTACCAAAGCAATTTTAGGTAACATACTTGTACTTTTACTCAAGTATCACTTTGTGGTACTTTATACAACACTGGTTTTGCTTCTGAATTGRCATAAATTCCAAATAAAACTTACACTCAAAACATAAAAGGCTACAGTATTTGCAATTGAAAATTCTGCTTCTGTTCAAATAATATATTGGAAGAGAGTGCACAGTGTGTTATTATTACCTCAGTGACAGCTTGGATRGATGCCCCATGTTTAAGCAAAAGCTCCATCACTTTCACTCTATTCTTCTTGCAAGCGATGTGAAGCGGCGTGAAACCGTTCTACGCACGGAAAGGAGAATGAAAATGTCATTTGCCCATAACAGTCGAGTCACTTTTCACGCCGCGCACCCCCACCCCATTTTTCACCCATACCAGAGCCTTTGCGTTTGGGTTGGCCTTCTTGTCCACAATGAGCTTGGCCACCTTGTAGTGACCGCAGTGCGCAGCGACGTGCAGAGCCGTCAGGTAGTCGTTGGTGACGTCGTCCACCGGCACGTCGTGCTGGAGCAGGAGCTGGACGCAGTTCAGGTGGTCCCCCTGGGTGGCCATGTGCAGCGGCGACAGGCCGTTCTACAAAAGGTGGTGGATGGAGGATGGGGAAAAATAGGGGTGGCAGACAAAGAGACAGAGAGAGAGAGAGAGAGAGAGAGAGAGAGAGAGAGAGAGAGAGACAAACACACACGCAGACGGACACATAGACAAGTGGACAGACACACACAGTGAGTTAGGATGTGGCCGTGTGCTGCGCAGAAAAATAAAAACTGTGAAGGAAGTTGCTGTTACAGAAGCATTGTTATAACGAGGTCATTACAACAATGTCTATATCGTTACACTGGTTGTCCTGCGCGGTCAAACTGCAGGGCTACGCAGCGAAGGTGGGCTGTTCTGGAGAAGTCGCACAGGYGTTATGGAGACAATGCGACAACACAACAACAGAGCTGCTATCTGACCCGATCACTCTGAGTGACTAGAAGAACTGACTTGAACAAATCTACACAAAGCCTTAACAACTCTTCTCTATTTGACCTTTTTTTTTTCCTCACGATTTAAAAAGACGGGATGGGATGTGACGCTCTCGGATTGATCGTTCTTGTAGCTACCTTGGTCTTGGACAGGATAGGAGCTCCTCGGTCCAGCAGGATTTCGACCACCTGCTCATGCCCGCTTCTCGCTCCACAGTGGAGAGGTGTCAGACCATCCTGAAAAACAGAAACACATGAAGTCAAAGGTATRCAAGGATGATGCAATAAACCACCGAAACCTTCACACTGCACAATTCTGTGATCATTTAAACTGATCAAAAATGTCAAAAAGCTGTGTTAAAAATGTCTTATCATCCAATATCTTGTGTCTTAAATTTTTATGATTTTATCAACAGGTCTCACCTTGGTCTTTGCATCAATCTTGGACCCTCTGTCCAGCAGCAACTTGACCATGTTGCTGTTGCCCCTTTTTGCTGCCACGTGAAGCGGTGTGATGTCATTCTAAACCCAGAACAGTACATTTATATCATCATTTTCATGCAATTGTGTTGATTTATCATGAACAAAAAAAATCTATTTAATTATAAGATCTTTGAAAATCATTGAAACAACCACAGACATGTCTTTTATTCATATATTTTATCACTGAGCTTTATTACTGAGGAGCTGCTTCTTTGTGTAATTTCAGCCATCCCAGCTGCTTTGGCCTGTAATCAGTGCCACAAACCAGCGCACTGTTTCACACAGCAGTAATTAACGCTGTTAACTTGGGTTAGATAACATCGAATACAGAAAAAACATTTTAATGGCGTTCACCCTCCAATTACRATGTTACTGCTGTAAACAAGCAGCTGCCTGGACAATTAAATTAGCTGGTAATGGTAGTCTCTCCTGGTTAATTAACTAGCTTAAATATGCACACAGTGAGACTTTAATTGTGACGCAAAGACATTTATTTAAGACACTGTATTTTAGGTACAGTTAAAAGTGCTTGTTTGTTATTATGGYTAACTTTATTCTTCTACTGTATTATATTTCAGAGAAAAACACTGTACTTTTTGCTCTTTAGTTTGTAATTTACAGCTTCGGGTAAAAWTTTCAGGATGGTTTTGAGGAGAACAGTGTAACAAATACAGAATTCAATCTGCTAAAAACAAAAAAGTCAAATATCAAATTAGTGATTTAAAATATGTATTTATTTTTTTTCTTCACATGTATTGATAAAGCAGGTTTTATTTGAGTTCCACATTCAAGATGTCTAAAGGGTGATGTTGTTTTCATTAAATTTGCAATAAAAATCAACGTTTCTTCAAAATCCAAATAAAAAAAATAATTTTTGTATCTGAACACATCATATAAATTTGCCAATAAATAATATTACTCTCCTAATCTTTTTTCTTTGTTAAAAATAAACCTGATCAAAGTGTTTTGGACATTGCTCATTCATAGCTAAGTAAAACATTCTGAAATATGTTAAATTATAAGGAAAGACAGTTTAATGCCTCATTATTGTTCAGGCGAATGGTTTGGAAATCRTTATGTCACGTTTACTAATACCACGCTGGTACGATTAAAACTAAAATATTTACTGCTTACTTTCCACCTGAAATGCTTGTAATACCCCTGCCAGACAGCAGAGGGCGGGATAAACTCACCCGAGCCATGAAATCCACAGCAGCCCCTCGGTTCAGCAACAGTGTGGCYACGTTAATGTTTCCATAATGAGCTGCAATGTGGAGGGGGGTGAAACCACTCTGAGGAATGGAGAAGTTCAACAAAACAATCAGACAAAATCACTTTACRTTGGAATAAAGCAAAAACATTAATGGCACGTCATTATATTTAGTTCTTCAGCTGACATACAGTCACACATTGGACACAATCTAATGCAGTGACACACTTCACCTTTTTATTTATACAGAAAGCTTTTTTACTGAAGCATTAMACATGGGGCCAACTACACTTTTTATTTTTTTTAAATCAG